GCTGGCTATATTACCAAAATATCTAGTAATTATACCTCATAGTTTATGAATTATCGCTTGTCAAATTTCTTTAATTTCGACATTGACTCACTGACAGATCATCAAAATTCTAATGTTCTCTCACTCACCGTCGTCATCACAATTCTAAGTTACTTCTAGATGTGTCACAAATTTCAAATTTTTAATTTTAGTTAGCATTAAGCCAAAGATAATTCTACTACTAACTATAATATTCTTTGATTAAGCTTATAATGTTAGGAAAAAATAAAAAATCCCGAAATATCCTTATCGAGGGGTGTCTCACTACTGGAATTACATGTACATTTTCTTGGTAGTCGCTGGCAGTCATTGACAGTTTTACGGCAGTCGCCTATAATAATTATAATAATTACATGGCAGTCATAGACAGTCTTCTTCATAGTCATTGGCAGTCGCTTAGCCGTGGAAGGATATTTAGGCAGTACGTGTACATTTTTTTACCCAAGTGAGACACCCCTCGATCCTTATGGATCAAAAGTTATATATCTAGCTGCTACCGGTAACCGACTATCCGGCGATGGTAATAGGAGGACCGGTAGTAAGATTATTTTGAAAATGTTGATTTTAGTATAAAGGTACCTGCTCCATCTATGTAAAGTATTGTCAGCGTTAGTAAGTATTCCTGGATTATTTAAAAAGTGGTAGCATCTTTGATATTTTGAATGGAACATCTAGTATATTATTACATTCTTGAGAACTATTCTCATATCTCATATATTGTCTATTATACTAACCTATGTCTTATAGTTTTCGAGATAAAAAAATAAAATTTGTGTAAAATTGTCAAAAATATGATTTTGAATAAGCAATAGTAAAATCAAGAATTGAACATTATTTAAAGTTGATATTTAGTCTATCACAAGTCGGAACCACAAGTCGTTAGAAAACTAGAATTACTTCATTTGATATTATCTGACTTTATACGATAATTCAAAGTTTAGGAATTATTGCTAGTCAAACTTCTTTAATATTATTTTGAATAATATATTACCCGAGAAAAAAAATAAGAGGATAATCTACAAAAAGATATGAGATCCCATCAAAAACATAGAATGTAAAAAAATGCCAAGACTCACAATACAATTCCTCCACTAGAAAAAGTTGTGTTAGTTGTTATCTCATGTAAAACCAAGTCAGTTTATTTTATTTAGTCTCTCTTGAAGCATCTATTCAACAATTTTGTTATAAATTGTTAGTATCAATATTAGTCATCTTTATTTCTGTAATAATTATAATTATAATTATAATAACTTGGCAATTATCCAGCATCATAATTATAAAAGAATAATCTACCAGCAAAATAAAACACTAAATCACCACAATACACCAAAACACTTTACTTTTGCATTGGACGCGCGTTTCGCTAACCAAGATGCAAAAGTAAATTGTTTTGGTGTATTGTGGTGATTTAGTGCATTATTTTGCTGTTGTAACATCAAAGGTTCTAACCTCTAAATTCCAAACAGTGCCCTTAAGAGTAAAGTTTTTTTAATTAGTATAGAGAATATCATATCGTGCAATTGCCAAGTCATTATAATTATTACAGAAATGAAGATGACTAATATTGATACAAATAATTTATAACAAAATTGCTGAATAGGTGATTAAAAAGAAACCAAATAAACTGACTTGGTTTTACATAAGATCTCACAACTTTTTATAGTTTATTATGTTGCGAGACTTGGCATTTTTTTACATTTTATGTTTTTGATGGGATTAAGCAATCTGGATATTTCCGTCTTAATTGAACTCTATTTTGTGGAACTGCGTCTATTTTTAAGTCGTGTAAAATTTACCATTTAATTTGCGTCGTTGTTCTTCCGGTCCGGTATTATGATAACTGATAAGGTTTTGTTAAATAATTCTGAAAATAATACTTTGACCTAAAATTGCTTGATTGAGCAAAAATAGCCTATGAATATCATTTTTCTCAGGTAAAACTTTAGGGAGTTAAAAAATAATTTACAGTTTTCAATTAGATACATAAATAGCAAATTAGATAAGAGCCTGCAAAAATAGAAGTATCTCTACCGCCCACCCTATGTTCTAAAATATTTCCATCTTACTGCCCTTTATAATATTAACATATTAAGCCGCCTCCGATCTGAGCTCTAATCCGATTAAAAATTCATTTCAATTAGGAGCTCCTCTCTGGGTAACTACCGAGTGCGACCTCCATTTAATTATAAAAAACTTCATGTCGTCGTACGACCTTTCCACGTCCCCTCGCAGTCGTTGTAGCGTAATCGCTTTGTAGGGAATTGCGGAAATATGTCGTGGCGTTGCAACAAAAGCTGCGGAGCTCGTAAAATATTCCTTATACAGGGCTACCTATTGTATTTCGTGCTTATTTACGTGGTGTTTTATTAAAATTGCGGAAAAGATGCATTGGCCTGATCGAATAGTCACATATTTATAGCCTTTTATGCTCACTCAGCGACTTACTCTTAATGGAATATGTTAAATGTATTGTGTGAACTGTTTTCCGTGATATATAAAAAATGAACACACCAAAAAGAAAATTATAAAATACAAAAGGAACAAAATTGAAAAAATTAGTAAAGGGGCTAAAAAGAAATAAAAATGGTTTGAATAATTGTATACAAACTTCCGATGGATATAGTCAAATGATATTTTTATATTCATGTTAGACCCGGAGGCTATACCATTTTTTTTGTTACTTCTGTTTGACATTTCTCCTGAAAGGCCTTGACAAATTTATTTTTTTTCAATTTAAAATAATTGGCCTCTGTATTTATTTTGATCATTTCTTGTTTGTGTTATAATTAGTTTAATGCAAAGTATACAGGGTAGCGGAATTTATTGTATTCTGGAACTTCGGCAGCACATTCTACCCACAAAAAAAGGAGGTAAAAAAGTTCCCATAAATTTATGTTCTAAAATGGTTTCGGAGAAATAGAGTGTAGAAGTTTCATTTTTATTTACATTTTTTCCATAAAATTTCTGAACTGTAGTCAATATGTGAATGAAAATCGGCGTCTGGATGTTTTTTCACATAAGAAATGTTATTTCGATATCAATATGACTCCTAGTTTAGAACGAAGCACCACCTATATATTTTTGAACTGTTTTGAATTGTATATTAATTTTTCGTCTGTACATGTATAAAATAACTGAGTAAAAAATATACATTTCGGTATTTTATGCGTAGAAAATGTCTCTTGATAAAAATCGCTACGAGCAACCGTTTTCAAGATATTTGGAAAAGAAATAATCTCTACTAATATATAAAATCCTTAAGTGACTGACATACTGATTAATCACGATCCTGCTCAAACCACTCAACGTAAGAAGATTCTAGGGTGTAGAGGTTCGATAAGAAGAGATTTTTCGAAATTAGTTCCAAGAGGGTGAAACCACCCCTCAAATATTACAATATTTTTTATTTAAAAAACGGTCAAGTTTCCGAAAAAACGCTTAAACAGGTATACTTTATTTTGTTTTTTTTTACATATTTTAAGATTTTTTAAAAATGTATACAGGGTGTTTCGAAAAATCTGGTCATTGATTAATCACGATCCTGCTTAAAGCGCTTTAAAAAAACTGATTTTTGGAAAACAAATTGATTTAGAGTGTAGAGATTCGATCAGAAGGGATTTTTCGAAACTCGAATTCTATTAGGGGGTGAAACTATCCCTCAAATATTAAAATATTTTTTATGTAAAACCCGTGAGTTTTTCGGAAAAACTCTTAAACACGTATATTTTATTTTGTTTTTTTACATATTTTAAGATTTTTTATAAATTTATACAGGGTGTTTCATAAAATATGACCATTGAGTAATCACGATTCTGCTTAAACTGCTTGACGTTTAAAGCTGATTTTTGGTAAACGGATTGAATGTGGGGTGTAGAGGTTCGATAAGGAGAGGTTTCTCGAATCTCAAATTCCAAGAGCGTGAAAACGCCCCTCAAATATTACAATATTTGTTATTTAAAAAACGGTTAATCTTTCGGGAAAACGCTTGGACAAGCATAATGTATTTCGTTTTATTACATATTTTGAAACTTTTTAAAAAATCATACAGAGTGTTCCAAAAAGTTAGGTAATTTCTTAACCACGATTCTGCTTAAACTGCTTGACGTAAAAAGCTTATTTTTGGCAAACGAATTTTTCGAAAGTCAAATTCCAACGAGATGAAACTACCCTCAAATATTACCAAGTTATATAATAATATCGCCATATTGTTTTTTCTCATGCTGACATAAATGTGAGAAAATGTTATCCAGTTTGTATGTTAATGGAAATTCTTGCTTTGCTTTATCATAACCATTACAAATGATTAATTCGACGCGAACGAAATCGCTGGTACACGCTAGTGTAATATAATACATATTATTATTGACAAAAAAATAAACATTTGACTGAAATTACAAATTTGGGAACCATTTATTTTTTAATGCTAAAAAATCATAATTTTTTCTAGAAAATATACGATAAAACAGTTTCTGTTGAATCTTTGGCACAACAACTTTTAAAATTTATTATTTCAGACTAATAGCAACTGCCCAGTCAACATGTATAATTTTTGTCAATTATGACATGTATTGACTATTTCGATTCCAAATATCTTGAGAATTATTACTCATAGCGCTTTTTGCAACGAGATCTGTTTTACGTAGGTAGTGTAATAAATGAACGGATGAAAAGTTATTACTCTTTAAAACAGCTAAATAATATGTAGGTGCCCCCCTACAAGTAAGAGCTATACTGACATCGAAATAGAATTTCTTATGCCAAAAAACACTTTAGATTTAAGTAACTTTATTTTTTTTAGAAACTTAATAATAAGAAGAAACTTAATAAATATAATAAACTCTTACTCCTCTTCCCCAGAAAGATGACAGGTCTGGGGGTTGTATAATACCCCTGCCTCCCGCGTACAAAATGGGATACGATTTCCTTAAGTTCCGATTCATGAATAACCGATTGTATCAACGAAGTTGAGTTGCCCAAGGGGCGTCCGCTGGCTAGGTAGCGGTGGAGAGGATTCCCAGGGGGTTCCAAAGTCCGTAAAAAAACCGAAATCCGGAACGATTTCCTTAAGCACGAAACTCTCACGAAAAGAACTTTATGTCCCATAAAGTATCCTAGATATGGTCCGCTGGCTGGGCGATGGTGGAATCCACGTCCGCTGATGGATCCAAAGAGGCCAAAAACCGTAAATTTGAAAACCATTTCCTTAAGCTTGAAATTTTGATGGAAACATACATTTTTATTGACATTTGCAAAAATAATCGTCCGCTGCCTATATGCGGGTGGAAAAGTCGTCCGCTGGTGGGATAAAGGAAGATAAAGGGTACCGAACATAAACGCGTTATGATGCACAAGCGGACGACATTTCCACCGACATACAGGCAGCGGATGATTGTTTTCGTAAATCTCAATAAAAATATTACCTTTCATCAAAATTTCAAACTTAAGGAAATGATTCTCGACAATCTATTCACAAAAAACATGCATGGAAAACACGAGAGGTTGAATCATAATTTAATCAGTCGACTAAAATTTTAATAAACTGTAAAATACTATATTACTGAGTAACTACGTAGCATCGTATAGATTTATTTAAGTGATTGGAGTGATTCAGGTGAAATTAATTTAATCCATTTATAAAAACTATAAATAAAAATATAATAAAATTATTCCTATTCCCCTTTGTGAAGAAAAATCAAAACTGTATCCCCACGAATCTCTAGTCCTAAAAAAATAGAATTTAACGGATCATTTTATTAATCCTGCACAAGTAAATCTCCAAAAATATTTCATACATTTTTGACATTACGTAATATCTGAAGAAAAATATCTGATATTTATTTATTATTACAGGTGGCGTTGCCAATAATAATAACTCAGACGTCACGTCGCCGTCAGTGATCGCGCGCATCTTCCGAATAAAAAGACGTTTTTTTGACGTTTCGGGCTCAATAGCATTATTTACCGGTTAGATATGTCTGAAATCGAAAAGTTTTGTGTATTTTGTTTAAAGAAAAAGGATAAATTAAAATCCTTCACGGAAACATCATTGAAAAAATGTCAGGAAATTTTGATCGTTCGGAAAATTAATAATTTGAAATGGAACGATGTTAATTTACCGAAGGAAGTGGTCGACTTTTTCTGTATCATTCTCATTGTTACTCTGTTTTTCCATCTTTATCTCCAATATTTGGAAAAACGCCTTCAAAAAGGAGCCTCTAAATTTGGATCCACTCGAGTATGGTTGGCAATTTGAAGAAGGAAAATTTGTGTGCAAATGGTTTGAGGGCGATCAGCTACCGTCATCAGTGGAAATGATCACACAAGAAGATACAAATGCTGAAGGTACTTATTCAAATTATTATTAATTTCTGCTTTTCATGTCATTCTAATATTTAATACTTATTTTTCTAGGCACTGATGAGGCGGATGAAGATGAATTATCACAAGAGGATGAAGACAGTGATGAATCTGATAATGACAGTGATGAAGAAGATGATGATTAAACGTTTTAAAATATTTTGTTTAATATTTTTGAAAAAAAAACCTTTAATTTCTAGTGAATCGAATAATTAAATATAATGAATTACTCAATAATATAATATTTTACAGCTATTAAAATTTTAGTCGACTGATTAAATTATGATTCAACCTCTCGTGTTTTTTGTGAATGATTGTCGAGAATCATTTCCTTAAGTTTGAAATTTTGATGAAAGGTAATATTTTTATTGAGATTTACGAAAACAATCATCCGCTGCCTGTATGTCGGTGGAAATGTCGTCCGCTTGTGCATCATAACGCGTTTATGTTCGGTACCCTTTATCTTCCTTTATCCCACCAGCGGACGACTTTTCCACCCACATACAGACAGCGGACGATTATTTTTGCAAATGTCAATAAAAATATAAGCTTCCATCAAAATTTCAAGCTTAAGGAAATGGTTATCAAATTTACGGTTTTTGGCCTCTTTGGATCCATCAGCGGACGTGGATTCCACCACCGCCCAGCCAGCGGACCATATCTAGGATACTTTATGGAACATAAAGTTCTTCTCGTGAGAGTTTCGTGCTTAAGGAAATCGTTCCGGATTTCGGTTTTTTTACGGACTTTGGAACCCCCTGGGAACCCTCTCCACCACTACCTAGCCAGCGGACGCCCTTTGGGCAACTCAACTTCGTTGATACAATCGGTTATTCATGAATCGGAGCTTAAGGAAATCGTATCCCATTTTGTACGCGGGAGGCAGGGGTATAAGGTTATACCGCCTATACACGCCGGATGTCAGAGCCTCGTTTGTGTAAAATAGCGTGCACCACGTGAAGGTGAGGTTGACTTTTATCACAGATAACACATAATCCAGATGGCTCCTTAGGTGTTAAAAATTGTCACCCCAATTTCACTCCAATTTGGGAAAATATTGGAGTGACATTTGAATAATCTGAAATTTTTAGATTCCTTTTCTAACTTTTTTGGGAGGTTTTGTTTCTCTTGCACAGATGTCGCTTGCACTTCAGTTGCGTGGTTGCCAAACGTTATATCGAAATATATTTCATTTCATTATGAATATATAAAATTAAAAATTATGTAATTTATAAACATGAAATAGATATGGATGTTAGGTAATACCGGATGTTAAATTAATATATAAATATTTAACTTAATACGTACATTATTATTTTATTAATTTATCGTCACATGTCATTTACCAGTTGCCTAATTACGAAAAGTTTCATATGACATTAACCTCAAAAATGATCTTTGAAAACAAACAACAACAAATAACTCAAAGAAATAACTACATACTACATAATAATAACTGATAATAATGACTTTTAATGGTATAAAGGCTGATGAAGGTAATTATAAACATTATTTTGAGTTTGTTTAATAAAATATAGGATACAATATAACTAAGCAAAATCAAACAGTTTTAGACAACCAATACAAGATTCAGAACTCGGCATCGCGATAAACAAGTAAAATTGTACATTCAGGAACTCGTTTAAATATTATAGGTAAGTAATATTTTCACAAAAGTAAACATAAAGTAATATAGAATATTACCTGTGATAAAATGTTAATTAGTGACGTATATTTATTCTAATCACATTTAAATTTAAACTCAAAATTTTCATAAAGAAAATGATAATTTTTCATAGATATAAAGTAAATAATATTACATATTTCAGGTTGATTGAAGAATAATCTACAATTGATTAGAGCCTATGATGATGCGAAGATAATTAATATCACCTAACTTTAAGAAACCAGCCTAAAGAAGTTTACATGCATCTCATCTAACCATTATAGGTAATAATTTACAAAATTAGTCATTTTTGATTATAATATTATGGTTCTTAGGTACATTTTATCTTCTAGATCAGTAGTGATTTTTCATAATTTGAATGAACTCACAGATAGCAATGGGGCACTGCACCGAAGCAGTATTACAAAATGTGAAATAAAACTGTAGTACAAATTGCTCTATAAAATTTAATAGAAATAAATTTATTTATGAAAATTAATGAAGTTTTATCTTTCCTAGGAAAAAAATAACAATTATATTTTGAACAATTAATTTAGAACATTAGAGTTAAAAAAATATATGTGTTAGAAATTGTAACACATATTTTTTTAACTCTATGTTATTCTAACTTAGAATAACATATTTTTAATAAAATTGCGCTTATAGTTTATACTTTTTTGCTATTATATCAATAAGAACTAACGTAAGGAGCAATTCATTTATACTATAAACACACATGCATATTTTTTGATCTTTTAAAACCAGTGAATGAGTTGAAATATGCTACACCTATTAATTCTTATTAACTAACTTTATAGCTAGACAGTTGAAAATTTTACAGATAATTAATGTATCTATGTTGCCGCTATAAGAACAAATACTAAAAACAGAATTAAATAAATGTTTATAAATAAAAAAGTACTTTCACTAAACATTATCGTTTAAGTAAGAATTTTACAAAGAATATTCAAGTCCTCGAGTGGCCGTGTGGTTAAAGGCGTTAGGATTTGAAGGCGGTGAGACGTAGTGAGGCAGGTTCGAATCGTAGGCAAGGTGACTGTTTCTTAATCTTTTTTTTTATTTTTACATATTTATTTTTACTTATTTATTATTGATTAATACAATTTTTAGCAATGTGTTTCTTCATTTTTTTTAAATTACTTACAAGCGCATTCAAAATTTCAGCTAAATCGGAAAAAAAGTTTACAATAATATAATGTCTGATGTTGTATAGATAATGTGTGAATGGTACCTACATTCAATGATAATGAACCCTTCGTGCGCGAGTCCGACTCGCACTTGGCCAATTTGTTTTGTTAATTGAAACGTTTAGAATTTGAATATTCGTTCAAAATTTTTTTTTTTTAATAAATTTATTTATGATTTATTAATGAAAATAATATGACCGAATTTCCTGGAAAGTTTTTCAAATTTGTACATATGAAAACCTAGCTTTACCACATATCATAGAAAATCTCTATTCCTTCCCTTATCACGGAATAATAAAGGAACGAACCATATGCGACAAAGATAGAAGATTTAGATATGTCGTTACTGTCTTTGTTTTTAACGGATATTTTAAAAGGCGGGTAATTTACCTTTGACTGTCTTTGATTATAACTGTGTGTGATTAGTGATAATTATTATTAAAATGTCTGGTAATAAGTGCCAATTTTATAATTGTGGGATTTCTCGGAAATCAGGTGTACATATGTTTAAGTTTCCTGCGTCAAGAGATCCTAATTTATGTACAAAGTGGATAGAAAATTGTGGTGAGTTCATTCATATAGAATTTTTTTGCACATTTTGTATGTAAAAATACGGCGTTAAGTTACCTTAGAAATGGTGATCGATGGCTTTTACCATATACCGTATGATCGAAAAAAAACGGCGTCAGTGATGGCTATGAAATGAAGATCGCTGTCATTTGATATGTAAAATTATATGGGGAATGTCATCGACCATCATTTCCAAGCCAATCGGACGCCTTTTTTTTTGGATCATACGGTATAATTTAACACATTAAGAATTGTCCATCGTTATTTCTTTATCTATGCAAAGTTTATGATGGATAAATCAAGTAATTAAGTGGATATAAATTATAAATGAATCAGTGAACATAAACTGTTATAAATTATAAGTAATGCAATTATTGAATATACCATACGATCGAAAAAAAACGGCGTGGGAGTGGGCTTGGAAATGAAGATCGCTGTCGTTTAATAGGTATGTAAAATTATATGATAAATCTTATCGATTGTCACTTCCAAATCAACATGACATGCATCTGTATATCATTATCTCACGACTAGAGTTTCCAAACTGAGATCCCGAACGTGTACTTACGACCGAATAAAATTCGTTGTCAGCATTGCTTTTGAATATATTAATTGCTGTCATTATATATGTAAAATTATTATAGGCGATGTTGACGACCGTCATTTCCAAGCCAACTTAATGCGTTTTTTTTCAATCATACGATATATGTACAGGACATTCATCTAATTCGACACTGACATTTATAGCAAAACCAATTTAGAATGCTGAACAACAAAAGACATTTGGACGATATATCTATTATGGTGGAAAATTATAATAATCCAATAACCATTGCAAAATAATTGATATTCGAACAATCAGCATTTTCGATTTTTGACATTCTATCGCGAACCAGTGAGAAATAAATACAAATTAGAATTTTGGTTTTGTATAATTATGACTAAAAATTTCAAAAAAAAGATATTTTTCGAATATCCCTGCATACATCAATATTGATACTGATTGAGGTACATATAATACTACACAGGGTGTTCTATTTTCGTGTGTTTTATGGGGTTTCTCGTTTATGAGTAGAGATACAAATATGTGGTTTTCACATCACTGCACTTTTTAAAAAAAGAAAATATAGATGCTACATACAGATTTGTCATATCTTTCTTAGGTCACTATAAACACTATAAAATTTCTTTGTCAGAGATCTTTTATAAAAGAAATTTTAAGAAAAATTTGACAGTGTTAATATACAATATTTTATAAAATCACATATCTATGTGTATCATCTTTAGTTTTATAAAAAAATATGTGGAAACCGCATCTTTGTACCTCTAATAATAAAAGAGAAATCACAAATGTAAAACACGAAAATGAGACACTCTGTACAACTTTTCGTTATGATATTTTTCCATTGTTTTGTTATATAACCTACAGGGCCGTGGTTACAGCCGGGGTGTTTTTAGAGGACAGAAATAGCCGTAGAAATTTTTCTCAAAGAAATATTGTAATTGTTTTATAGGAAACGTAGGTACATAAATAAGTTTGTTATAAACTTGTTAGAGAATAAGAGTTTTCATAATATAACATTTTTCGATTTGATGTTTTCCTACAAATTTATTCTATAGGTTATATATATATAGGGTAACCCAAAATTACAATATTATTATATTACAATATTATTATTATTATATTAATATTTAATTATTATTAATTACTAATTTGAAAAGCCACTTCAATATTTTACTAGATATATTTTGTATTGTTCTCCGACCGTTTTTTAAGTAAACATATTTTTTTGCATTAGAACCGCACATTAAATTAAAATATCAGTTCTTTTCAAAAAGCGGGTAGTGCTTGAAAATTAAAATTTGATGTTTTAATGGCACTACAAATCAAATCAAATAATATTAAATCAATAGTGTTGACAGACGCCTACTGTGTTTTTTTTTGCATATTTAACATTCTTTTCAAATGGGATTATTTTTTAACATGTAATTACCCGCTATTGATTTCCACATTTAGGTATTTGTTTACAATCGGTATCATAATATTTGCTACTTTATTCTTCATCAGAAATGTTACCTTGATTAAGTCTATGTGGAAGCGTACATACGGGAGTGGTAATGGGGGGTAAAATGGTGGAAAAGATCACAATAAATCAAATAAAATTATCACAAGAGAAATTAATAATGCCAATAATTACTTTAAAAGACAAGACCAATCCAACTTTTGTTTTCCACAGTCATAATATCTCCAAGTGCAAACTAAATTTAATTTATTACTTTACTTAAGTACTGCCAAACTCTATGTCTAGATGTGCCACTGTCCTAACATATATCTAGTCCTGGTAGTTTTGTACCTCTTGCGAATGTTTTAATACGTTTTTCAAGTGAAACTTCTTAACGCGCGCTGGAAGTAAAAATTCAAGGCCGTGAAACACAAGCTAAGCGAGACTAAAAGTGGTAAAGACAGCCTATGGCTTAGAAATACGTAGTGACGCGACGTGTATTTGTAAGCAGTCACCGCGTTTATCAAAAATATTGATATTTCAATACAAATGTTGTGAAAGTAAATCAAATTATATTGAGTATATATACTGATATTTAGTTACAATAACCATAATATGTTAAACCAAATTAAAATGTGACAGGAAAAGTTATACAGGGTGGGACAAAACTAATATTGAACATTTATCACTTTGAAAAGCAAGTTACTCCTTTATTTTAAATGGAACACCCAGTATATTATTTCCGTGTTCAATGGGGAATTCATATATCTTCAAAATATTATTAAGGTTGCCTACCCCTCTAACAAAGATTTTCCTAGATACTTTCATTTTTATGATTTTGCGTCAGTAGATCTTTATTATTTGAAAAAAATCTAGGTGGCTGTGTTAATTTATCAAAAATTAAAGGATGTAGTATAAAAATACTGTAATAAAAACATACGTTTAAAACATATATTAATTATCACAGAATTAAAATTAGATATAAATGTATAATTATATAACAAAAATTTGAATCTAAAAGTAGAATCATATCAATTCTTTCTGATGTAGGATAAGTTTCTATTTTCGGAAAATTTCTTAGATTTTTTTTTTGTTTCAACTGACGAACTGACACAAAATGATAACTAGTTGCTAAAGTTGAACTAATTTGACAGCTATGTTGAAGTAACGTAGACATATCACAGCCACCCTAGATTTTATCAAATAATAAAGATCTATTCACACTAAATCATAGAAATGAAAATATCTAGGAAAATCTTTGTTTGAGGGGTAGGCCGGCAACCTTAATAGTATTTGGAAGTGACATGAATTTCCCATTGAATATCGGAATAATATTCTGGGTGATTCAATTAAACTAAAGGAGTTATACAGGGTGGGTATTAAAGGAGTTATACAGGTTATACCAATGTTCAGCATTAATTTTGCCCCACCCTGTATAACTTTATGGGTCAGGTTTTAATTTGATTTAAAGTGCAATAGAGTAAATTCCAATTTAGGTAGTTTTTCTTGAAATTTAAAAATTGTTCTTCAAAATCTTAAGTAAGTCTAAAACCTTACATTTCAGTCATATACTTCCCTAATAAAACACACCTTTATTTTTCTCTTAGAATCTAAAAATTAATTAATAAAGGGGGTATTCCGTTACAAAAAAACACAAATTTGATGTGTAACTTTTTTTGGGGACACCCTGTAGAACTCTCTATATTTTTAAAACGTGCGCAGAATTAACTTACATATGCTCACAAAATTTCATTTCAATACGAACTGGTCGTTCTCCTTGGAGCCTCCGAGTCGTATGAGAGGCGCCACCCTGTATAATTTTTATATAGTTGCACTTTAATAAATTGTTAGTTAAAACTAACAGTCCTACGAGTGTGGAATTTTGTACAGGTGGATTTTGGACATTCATCTCCTAAGAGTGTGAAATAAGGGATGAAAATTTGTACAAACATTTGTTAAAATCGGGTTTA